GAGAGCAGGAGCCACGGCAGCCACCCCTAGTCAGAGACGGGAGGGAACAGGGGTGCGGAGAGCAGGAGCCACGGCATGATGCCGCTTGGCCCTTATCGGTCACTTCACCTTGCTGAGCCTGGGAAAAAGGGGGTGCCCCTAGCACTCTTGGGCTCAAGCTCTTAGCAGAGTTTCAGCTGGAAGCAGCTCCACACCCAGAGAGTCCTCCCTTCCACATGCCTTCGCCTTCCTCGGGAACTCAGTTGCTAATCCACCGCCCACCAGACGGGCCCAACCCAGAAGGACCCGCGGACGCAGAGGCCAGGGAAGAAGAAGGCCCAGTCCCTCTGTGGGGCTCCGTGTAAGAGCCAAGGGCAGCCGCAGGACAGTGGGCGCCCTGGGGACTTACATTGCTGTCGTAAACAGGAGTCCCTGGAGGGCCTGGGGGCCCTGGAGGCCCTGGGGGGCCGGGCATTCCCTGTGGGGAGGGCAGAGAGCTGTTAGTCAGGCTTATGGCCTGCCTGTCAGGCAGCAGGTGGGAGCAGGGACAGTTCAGAAAAATCAGAAAAATCAGAAACCTGACCAGGCAGACCTCTGACCAGGCAGAATCGAGAATGCAGTGGGTCACTCGGGCCACGGCTCCCTGAGGACAGGAGCTGGCCCCGGCCCCACCTCATCCCACGTTGGAGTCGTGCACAGACGTCCCTCGGGAGGAGTGAAGAGGCCACCGGGTCTGCGTCTCAGGTAAAAGCTGACTGAAAATGCCCCACCCTGCTGACACCAGGGAGACAAAGCTCTTGGCTCAAAAGCAGCAGAGTGGATGCCTTTGGGCTGAGCGGGAGAACCCCCAGCATGGAGGGCATGGAGGGCATGGAAGGCATGGCCCAGGCCCATGGACGCCCTGCTGAGAATCCATGCTGGCCTGTTGTGTGTGTGTGTATGGGTGCACATGCATGCATATATGTGTATAGGTGTGTGTGCGTGTGTATGTGTGCATGAGTGTACGTGTGCAGTGTGTATGCCAATCATGGAATGAGCCAGGGAGGGCTTACATTCGTGTATGAGTATATGGATACACACGTATATATGCACACATGTATATAAGCATCTGTATACACTTGTATGTATGTGCATGTGGACAGGCACACATATGCACGAATACATGTGTATATGTGCACATATGTGGAGTGTGTGGGCATGTGTACATGTATGAGCATGTGTGGATATGGATGTGCATGAATGCACGTGTATGTGTGCACACATGTACGAGTGTATGGGCATATGTGCATGCATGTGTGAGTGGGCACACGTGTGCATGTGTGTGGACATGTATGAGTGTGCATAGGTATGGCAGGGACCAGCGCAGTGTGGCCACATCATGTATGAGAGTGCATAGGTATGGCAGGACCAGCGCAGTGTGGCACATCATGTATGAGTGTGCATGGATATGGCAGGACCAGCGCAGTGTGGCACATCATGTATGAGTGTGCATAGGTATGGCAGGACCAGCGCAGTGTGGCATATCATGTATGAGTGTGCATGGATATGGCAGGACCAGTGCAGTGTGGCACATCATGTATGAGTGTGCATGGATATGGCAGGACCAGTGCAGTGTGGCACATCATGTATGAGTGTGCATGGATATGGCAGGACCAGCGCAGTGTGGCCACATGGCAGGGCTGCTTATAAGTGGCCCCTGAGAGGAGCTGCAGGACCCCAGGCTGTGGCCAGGCCATTCCCAGGTCCTGGTCTCCCAGCCACCCAGGCCCCCCTTGAGGGACACTCACCCTCATGCCAAATCCAAGGTGGGCATCTCCCGGCTCCCCTTTCTCTCCTTTCAATCCGTTCATCCCGGGGCGACCCTGGGGCGGAGCACAGGGAGTGGGGACTGCTGGGCTCTGGTCATCACCAGCCATGTTCCCGTAAGGTGGCTGCGGTAGCCCCACACCAGGCCCGGCCCACACTCAGCCTCAAACGTTCCTAGCCCTCAGGCTACCCCAGCCCTTCTCGCCCCTCCTTCCTGCTCAAGAACCCTTTTGGGAGGAGGTGACTGACCCCAGCACACACAGGCCCACTGCCCTGTCTGCCCCCAGGGCCTCCTCCTGGGTACTGGCCCCTCCTGGTGTATTGCCAGCCACATCCAGGACAAGAGCTGTGCCCAGGCCGGTTCTGGGGGGAGGAAGCGGGTGCGGTGGCCGTCCACTCCCCTCTGGGCATGTCACCCCGTGGGCCTGGGCTGCTCCCCACCTGCCAGACCCCATCTGCTGCCCCCACTGGAGACCCCAGGTCCTCACCGGCCGTCCAGGGAAGCCAATCTCTCCCTTGTGCCCCGGTCGTCCGTACGGACCCTGCGAGACGAAGGGAGCCAGACTTAGCGGAACAGACCCGGCCCTTGTCCACGAGTTGGGGGGTCCTGGGGAAGGGGAGGGGCCGTGCAGAGCCCATTGCCCTGGGCCACCCATCAGCTCGGAGGAGCCTGCTGCAGCCTCACACCGACACCTGCCCCACGTGCTTTAGAGCTGCACTTGGGAGATGAGCCCTGGCCTGCACAGCACGAACTCAGCAGCTGCAGGCGACCGTGTCCTTGGGGGCCGCCATGCCCAAGCTCGGTGCAGAGAAAGCCACAGGCCGACTTACCGGGGGTCCTCGGAAGCCCGGCTCTCCCTGAGCAAAAAAAACCAAGAAGGCACAGTTAGATGGCGGCTTATGCCCCACCTGGCAGCCTCCCTGAGGACCCTTGTGGCCCCTTTGGGTGCACTGGGCAGTCCTCAAGGCGCAGGCAGCCCTGGGAGGATGGGAGCTGCTGGCAAGGGGAGGTTCAGGATTGGGGTTTGCATCCAGGTTGGTGCAAGCATAGGGTATACTCCGGGGCCCTGAAGCAGGGGCGGAGGGTGTGTGCCACAGTGTCCTGGTTGCCACAGGCCCCGGCTCCGACGCACAGCTGGGTGGGACAGTGGAGCTCTCGCTGAGCCTGGGGATCCTGTGTCTGAGGTGCACCCCTAAGACCCCAGAGGGCTCACTGCTCCTCTGACAGTGGGAGAGCCAGTGCTCCACACCCCAAAGATCCAGGTTCCTCCCCAGGACCCTCCCCCAGGGCTTGTCTGGGCGGCTGCCTGCTGCGGTGGGGACCCAGGCACAGGCCCCTTGACGAACTGACTCCGGGCCCTGCCATGCTCGGGGTCCTGCAGGCACCCTGGGGCTGCAGAGAGGAAGGATCCTGCGGCTGCTGCCCACAGCATCAGGGCCCCCAGGAAGAGGTTGGAGGGGCAGCAAGAAACCTGCTGAGGCTGAGGTGGTACAGCCTGGGCTCCTGCACCCCACAGGCCAGGCCCCAGGGAGGCGCGAGTTCAGAGCTGCAGCCCACTGAGAACCTCCCTTCGGCAGGGTGGGCTCAGGGGCAGGGAGAGGACGAGGGCCCGGCGGGACCTCTAACATGGGTGCCAGAGAGGAGGGGCCATGAGGGCCAGGCCAGGATGCTGGAGCCCTGCTCGGGAGAAGCTCGTGCGTCAGGAGCCAGACCCTAAGGAAGACCCTCCCCAGGCTGTCTCCACGGCCCCAGGAGCCCCCACGCCCGCTGGAAGGAGGCTGCCCGGCCCTCACCTTGGCTCCTTTCTGGGCAGGGCCCAGGGCACTGCCGTCGGGGCTGAAGACGCTGCCTGGTTCACCCTTCTCACCCTGGAACAGCAGCAGGTCCGGCAGGGTCAGGGCCAGCTCCTTCCCACAAAGCCTCACCCAGAGCCCCGAAGGCAGGGCCGCTGTGACTGGGCCTCGTAGCCCGGCGTCCTCTCACGGAGGATGATCACAGGGATGGGAGGGTCTCTGCGACTGGGCCTCACAGCCCAGGGTCCTCTCACGGGAGGTGACCACAGGGACAGCAGGACCACAGGGACAGCAGGGTCTCTGCAACTGGGCCTCACAGCCCGGGGTCCTCTCACGGGGGGTGACCACAGGGACGGCAGGGTCTCTGCGACTGGGCCTCGCAGCCCGGGGTCCTCTCACAGGAGGTGACCACAGGGACGGCAGGGTCTCTGCGACTGGGCCTCACAGCCCGGGGTCCTCTCACGGGAGGTGACCACAGGGACGGCCCGAGTGCGGCTGTACTCCTTGTGAGTCACAGTAGCAGCCGGGGGGTCCCGGGTTTCTCCCAACAGTGGCAGGCTGGGGCCACCACTGCGTCACAAAGTGGGTTGAGGGACAGCACCTGAGCCCCTTACCTTGGGTCCCGGGGAGCCTCGTTCACCCTTAGAGCCCAGGTCGCCCTTGGGTCCTGCAGGTCCCTGGAAGGGAGGCCAGGCAGTGAGGCCCGAGCGGCCAGCGTCTCCCCCATCTCTGACAGCTGCTCCACCTCCCTGGACAGCTGCCCCCTGGCAATATGCCTGCCTTGTCGGCCCCATCAGGGCCCCTCTCGGCCCCAGCCTCACTCCGGACACTGCAGGCCTCTGCAGGTGCAAGGAGCTGCCTCAGCCTCACAGGTGCCCACCCAGCACGGGGCCTGCCAGGGGCTCTTGCCCACATCCCGCTTCCATCACTTCCTCGGGGCAGTGACTGTCGCTACCCCTCAGGCCTGACGAGGCCCACCCCAGCTTGACCAGGCTGCTCTGTGCTACCAGGAGGAGACCCCTCCCCAGCAGGGAGGGCAGTGGCGGGCAGCGCGTAGCTCTGGCGCCAGGTTACTCACGGGAAAGCCTGCGAAACCCGGCCGGCCCTGGGGAAAAAGGGACAGCGTCAGCCGGGGTCATCACGCACCCACGCGGCTGCCCGGACCCCACCCAGCCTTGTACCAAGGTCCCCACATCTTAGAAGCCGGGCAGGCACGTACCTCAGGTCCCGGCACGCTCAGGACGGCACCCTGTCCACCAGTCAGCAAAAAGAAAAATCGGAAACAAAGAGCCGCATTTAAAATTAAACTGGACTCCCCCCGAGCGACTTACAAGATCAACAAAACACCAAAACAGGAAAATATTGCTTTCCACACTCTTTCTAGGCCTGGGGCGTCCCTCCTGCAGCACAGACGCCCCGCGGCTCAGAGCGGCGGACACAGACTCCAGATGCCCTAAGCCCTAAGACACTTTTTACTTCCATTTTGGTTTAAAATGCTCCTTCCTCTGCTAGACTCTCCCTTGCTTGCCGGCGGAGGCGGCTGGGCTGGCGGGGGGCTTTTCTGACGTTCCAATGACTGGACTGTCACGCCGAGGTCCCTGTGGCCTCTTGGGCTGCTGTCTCCCGATGCCTGTCTGCCTGCTCCGAGCAAAGCCATGAGGGGGCAGGCCCTCTCCTGCCTTTCCCCAACCCCACCCCTCCTCTCGAGACTGTTATGGTCCCACCTCCCAGGTGAGGACCCGGAGCACAAGGGTTAGCTAACTTGTCCAGTGTCACAGACGGTGCCTGCTCTCAGCTCTGCCCTGGGCAGCCCCTTCCACTGGTGGCCACAGAGAAGCAGGGATCTGAACCCCTGGCCACACCCAGCTCTGCTCCCCTGGGCCCTGTGTCTGCCTGGGGCTCAGCGTCCTGCCTAGAGGGGGACTTGGTCCCTGTGTTCCATGTGGCGGGGCTGGGTGGGGACGCGTCTGCCTCTGTGAGGCCAGCGGGACACGCTGCTGGCAGGCGCAGAGGGTGCAGCCGATGGGCCTGATGGTGGGCTGCGGTGGGGAGGAAGGTTCTGGAACCAACACAACCTTCACAGAGAGCCGAGGGTGCGTCTGCTGCTTCTGACGGGGCAGCTGGGTGACTGCACGCAGCTTTGGGGCCACAATGTCAAGGACACAGAGACTGAACCCGATGGGAACCTCTGACATAATAACACTGGCCCCCTGTGCAGGCCTCACCCCTCCAGTGTCTCCATCACCACATGGAGCTGGGCTCCCCGGGCGTCTCTGACCGAGGGCCTCTGCAGCCCCCACTGTGGAGCTGGAGTGTGGCCTTGCAGTCAAGGCCTGTCCTGACCTGGGGGGTGTGGGGGGCTCAGGGAGGGATCTCTGCACCCAGTGGGGTATCTGGACAGATTGGGTGCCCACCCATGCAGCGTCCTTACATCCTGCTCCGACACGTAGACCACAGGCCCCGGGGGTCCGGGGGGTCCGGGGAGGCCTGGCTGCCCGACTCCGTCCTTCCCTGGATCTCCCTGGAAAAGGATGAAACGTGTCCAGCATTTCATCTCAGCCACTCTGGCCAGGACCCCAAAGTCCACCCAGTCCTGGAGGGGGTGCCCAGCGCCCACGGGGGGTGAGGAGGGGCCCAGGGCTGTGGACTGTGGCCTTGGAGGCCCCCGCCAGGCAGGGCAGGCTCCAACAGGGATGGCCGAGCCACACACACTGCCCCCAGCCTGAGAGCCACCCCTGTCAACTTGAGGGTCTTTGCCCCGAGTCTCTGAGGTCACATGGGTGGCAGGAGCACGGACCTGGGGGCAGCTGAGGCCAAACCTTCCAGATGTCCCAGCGCCCCCTCACCCCATCCACCCGTCCCAGGAACACTCACCTTTTCTCCCTGGCTGCCTCTGTCTCCCTTTGGCCCCTGAAGAGATGGGAAGGAAATGGTTCATCACCGACAGAAACAGGAGCCCCTGGCTCCCCGTGAGGGATGGCTGCGATGAAGATGTGGGGTTATTTCCCGACCGGCTGGGGCCTGGGAGGGAGGCAGCCACCGAGAGTCCTGGTGGAGACTTGTATTCGGCTCCTGGCACTCAGAGACCCGGGAGGGCACATGGAGGCCCAGGGACCCGGGAGGGACACACCTCCTGCCAGCTTCCACCTTGGCATAGTCCCTTTGGGGCTCCACACCCCCCCTACACCCTGGGCCCACCAAGGCGGCTCACCTGGGGCCCAGCAGTGCCCTCTCTGCCAGGGAGGCCGGGGAACCCGGGGGCTCCATTTGCTCCAACTTCTCCCTGAAGGGGTCACATGGAGGACACAGGGCATTGGCCACATGCCCAGGAATGCGGGGACCCCCACAAGGAGTCTGGGGCACCCGTGGACGTGGCGGTGGCCTGGGCTTCTCTATCTCACCCCTGTGGGCTTGAGCAGGGGCTGTGGAGGAATGGAGGG